ACGTAGCAGCAGCAGCAGTAGCAGCAGCAGCAGGAGCAACACGCTGCTGCTGCTGCTGCTGCTGCTGCTGCTGCTGCTGCTGCTGCTGCTGCTGCAGGCCTTGTGGGGTGCCAAGGCAGCTGCTGCACATTCGTAGCCGGGGCGGAACTATATACTTCTCGGTTTACGTTGTGTTGAGTTAGCTGCTGCTGTAGCTAGTTGTTGCTGTAGCTAGCTGCTGCTGCAGCTGGAAGCAGAGGCTAGCTGCACTTCGCATATCTCTGCTGCGGAGAAGCAGCAGCAGCAGCAGCAGCAGCAGCAGCAGCAGCGGTTGCTGCTGCTGCTGGCGCCGCCTTTGCAGTGCAGCCGCATTGAGTGTGTGCTGCACCTGCCTATACACCTCAGCATCCACCTGCTTCCAGCGGGGGACGGTGGTGGTGGTGATGGGTTTTTAAGGGTTTGTGTGTGGGGCCGCAACTTTAGCCTTTGAGTCCTAAAGCATAGGGTTTAGGGTTTAGGGTTTAGGGTTTAGGGTTTAGGGTTTAGGGTTTGAGGGTGAAACGTCAAGGGCTGATGGTTTAGGGTTTAAGGGTTTAGGGTTTGGCGTCGAGGGTTTAGCCTCAAGGGTTTAGGGTTTATGGTTTAGGGTGTATAGTTTAGTTTAGAGTGTATGGTTTAAAGTCTTGGGGTTTAGGGTTTATTAGGGTTTAGGGTTTAGGGTTTAGGGTTTCGCATATAGGGTTTAGGGTTTAGGGGGTGGCAGGGGCGCAGTGTTCACTTGTGGGGGTCGTAGTTTGCCTGTGGCTTATGTTTATTTTAGGGATTAAACAATTGAAATTAAAATATATTTTGCTGTTTTTTAATTAAATAAAAAAAAAGAAAAAACAGACAAGCCACAGAGGGTCACTGACACGGGGTGTCTGTGCATACACCCCAACTGCGCGTCGGCAGCGGGCAGCAGCAGCAGCAGCAGCAGGAGCAGCAGCAGCGCCTGCAGCAGCTCTCTCCTCTGCTGCAGCAGGTAATGCTGTTATTTTTTATATTTATTATATCATCAGTTTATTCTAATTATATTATTTGTCCTTTAATTAAATACACTTGTCGTTGGGTTGCCTTGGCTCTGCTGCTGGTGACCAGTGGTCTCTTCACTTGCTGGTCCACCGCTTCGCATCAATACTCCTTTTGTTACTGTATCCTCCATAACCCTAAACCCTAAACCCTAAACACTAAACCCTAATTCACCCTGAACCCTACACACAAACCCGTGTCCTCTTGTTTTTTAGCTGCTGCTGCATAGACGGGTATTAGGGTTTAGCGCCACACCGCCGCCTGCCTGCAGGTCAGCTGCTGACAACCCAAACCCTAAACCCTAAACCCTAAACCCTAAACCCTATACCCTAAACCCTAATAAACCCTAAACCCCCATATGCTCTAAACCCTACCAAACCCCAATAAACCCCAGTGAGCCCTGACNCCTAATAAACCCTAAACCCCCATATGCTCTAAACCCTACCAAACCCCAATAAACCCCAGTGAGCCCTGACAAACCACAAACCCTAATAAGCCCCACTAAACCCTAGTAAACCCTAGTAAACCCTAATGACCCCTAATAAACCCTAGGGTGTTTTTGTCTTCTTGCAGGCGTGGCGTTTGGGGTCTTAGGACGATGGGGGCCTCGCGTGTCCGAAAGCAGCTGTTGCTGCTGGGCGCCTTGGGTTTGTGTTGCTGCAGCAGCAGCAGCAGTGTTGCCGCCGGGGAGTTGAGAAGCGGGTCCGTAGATGTAGGAGCAGTCAGTGCAGCAGCAGAGTCTGCAGCAGCAGCCGCTGCAGCAGACACAGAAACACCAGCAGCAGCAGCAGCAGCAGCAGCAGCAGCAGCAGCAGGAGAGGTATCTGATCGGCATCTTCGTCAGGTCATAGAAGACTTCGATATGCACGAGGGTTTAGTGAGGGCCCTGGGGCCCCTTGCCCCCCTGGAGGTCCCTGACTGGAGCGAGGGTTTACTGGAGCAAGACCGCGGCCAAAACAGCAGCAGCAGCAGCAGCAGCAGCAGCAGCGGGACTCGGGTTCACTTCATGGGCCCCTTTCCCCCCAATAGACCCTGGGCCCCCGTATACTTCTCTGGCTACGGCCAGCACTACCCCATGGGGCCCCTCCTCCTCTCCTGCATCACTCAGTCAGGCGGACGAGCGACCTGTGACGTCGTGCCGAACACACCCTATACACCCGTAAACCCTAAACCCTAAACCCTAAACCCTAAACCCTAAACCCTAGGCAACTTTAGTTTACCGTAAACCCTAAACCCTAATAAAATATAATAAACCCTAATTTACATTCAACACGCCGTCGCCTGTACACTCCACCGGGTTTAAACCCCATACAAACCCGTAAACCCTAAACCCTAAACCCTAAACCCTAATTGACCTGAAACCCCAAAAAACTGTAAACCCTAGTAAGCCCCAAACCCTCAACAACCCTTAAACGATACTGTACCTTAGAGCATCACACCACCACCGCCGCCACCATCACCACCCCCACCAGCAAGAGCACCATCACCAGCAGCAGCAGCAGCAGCAGCAGCAACAGCAACAGCATGTATGCATATATGAACGCATGCAGGCTAGCGGATCTACTTTAT